TTTACATTTGGTGGTGGAGCTATCACTTGAAGTCAGCCAAACAAAGCATCATAACTCGATCTTCAAGGGATTCTGAGTTAGTTGCTATGAAATTGGCTGGTACAGAGGCTGAGTGATTGAAAACTTCTTAGCAAATATCCCATTGGGAGACAAGCCAACACCATCAATATCATTACACTGTGATAACCAGCAGCAATAGCCACGACCAAAAATAAAACATTTAATGGTAAAAGCAGACACATTCGATTGAGACACAATATTTTAAGGTAGTTGCTAAAAGACGAGGTGATCTCAATCAATTTTGTGAGGTCAGAAATGAACCTCGCGGATCTATTAACAAAACCCCTAGGGAGGAAACAAATTATTGAAACATCGAGGGGAATGGGACTAAAGCCAGTATGATTACAACAACGATGGCAACCCAACCTTTGTGATTGGTGATCCCATGAAGAAGGTTCAATGGGTAAAAACAAGTCGCTCGTTAGTACTGCTAGCACTAAAACATAATTACTGGTCCCTTCCTATGATGTGCAAGAAAGTGCTAGATTGCATGTTGGAGGGTAATGATTTCAAATCCTACAGGATGGTGTATTCAGTATAGGTACACTTAAATGAATCACCTCTACGAATGTGGAGTGGGGCCGCTCCTATGAGATCATGGCAAAATCTCTAGAGCATTCGTTATGCACCGGGCACGGGCACGGCCGATATAACACGCAAAACCGTCGTTAACAGCAGAAATGTGGGGGTATAATCTGACTTTTAATGCCTCTGGCACACACCAAAGAGATAACAGTTCATAGAAGCAGGCTTCACTGGCATCTCTGTGTGCTAAGTGTTATTGGTCTAGGTCTAGTTCACAGTCGCAAGGACCACTAGATACAATGGTTATACCTATGTGTGTAACTCTGGCTCTTTATTTGACACATGTGGGGATTGTTGTGAAAACATTGCAATGTGTGTCAAATAAAGTCCCACATGAGAAAAATGAGAAGAAGACTAAGTGTATAAATGAGATCAAGCATCCTTGGGGGGGTAAATGGGCCAAGAGGAAAGTGGGCCTCGCGTACACAACAACGCGCCACCAGGAGGAAAACGCAGTTGAAAACTGGCGATTTCCCCCCTGCGCGTGACTTAGACGTGGCAACGCCTCATTTTACGAAAATTATTTTAAACTTTTGTTAAATTTTTTAATAAAATTTTGCTTACCGGAAAAGTCTTATTTTGGACTTGTTAAAAGTAAAAAGGGTTGCTGTCTTGTTTTTGTGGCCAACCGGACGCGTCTCATGGGGTGTGACCGAATGTTGTGTGCACCAACGTTCGTGATTGTTCCGTCTCCAACAGAACCTTGCGTTGTTTCCGTCGTACCCATTCGACGAAACAGAGGGATGCGTCTTCCGGTGATGTGGCCATTCGCATCTATATAAGGGACGGTTCAGAAAGCGTGAGGCTAGATTGTGCTTGTCTTCTTCCTCTCCTCTGTTCCCTGCATCGTTACAAACTCTTTCGCTGTTCTGCCACCTTGCTTCGTAGGAAGGGTTCGTTTGATCCTGGGGAGTGCTGCTGCCTGTTACACCGAGGGGTTGCGGAATATCTCTCAAGGACAGTGTCCTTGTGACGCGACTCGAATCGGATTTTGCTGTTCCTCCCTTGCTGCTGCCAACAACTCCTTTAGTTAAAAATTCTGTTAAAGTGACGTGAGGTGGCATCCAACTGGAAATATTTACTTTGATATGCATTCAACCACACCCATCATCAACCATTGTCACTTTCCTTATCTCTGTAATCTATCGACACTTGCACCCACTTCCTCACTTTCATTCCGTGCTGCCACAAATCTCCAGATAGGAAGAGAAATATTAATTTAAATTGCAATATGTTTCAGTCTGCCAATCCACGATACTTAAAAAGGACCCTTAATTTATACTACCTTGCTAAGACTTGTAGACAAGTCCCTGAGAGAGAGAAAAAAAAGAAAAGCATCTCAAAGTTACATAATAGAGTGAGTATTTTCTATTTCTGGCTTTGTTTCTCCTTAATGTTTCTCTCTCTTCAATCAGGTGACCTCCCCATCTTTGAAGAGAATCAAAGCCGAAAAACAATACTCACTCTGTTTTACAACTTTGAGATGCTTTTCTTCTCTCTCTCTCATGGACTTATCTGGTGCTTGGATAAGAACCAAATCATAATTTTAAAAGTGATTTTATGATGTACGACATAAATATATAAAGATATTTGTCTTTATTTGCAAAAAAAAAACTTTTAAAAAGTATTTTGGATACTATCCAAACACCCCATTGGTAAGATTGTATAAATTAAGAGTCTTTTTTTTTTTCCCTACCAGCATTAAGAGTCCTTTTTTAAGTGTTGTGGATTGCCGGACTGAAACATATATTGCAACTAGAATTAGGGTTATTATAAACTTTGGTATCTCGAGTTTATCTTTATTTTAGTTTTGGTTCCTCAAATTTCAAATCATAGGCTTTGATCTCTTAAGTTTCTTTATATTTATAATATTGGTCCCCATAATTCAATAAAGATTTGGATAATTTTGCCCCTTCAGGGACCAAAACCTATGGTTAGACAAAAACCAAAATGAGGACAAATTTAAAAGAATAAAAATTATATTAACTCGTGAAGTTAATATTTCTCTTTCTATCTAGAGATCTGTGGTAGTAAGGAATGAACGTGAGGAAATGGGTGCAAGAGCCGCAGAGATCAGGAAGGTGACAGCGGGTGTAGCTGGATGCCCAGTTAGAATAAATATTTCCAATTGGATGCCACCTCACATACTTTTAAGAGAATTTTTAATCGAAGGACTTGTGAATTTAACAGTCTAAACTTAAAAAGATCTCATAAAAAGGAAAAAAAAATGTCCCAAGACCCAATTCAATTGGAGAGTCACAATGAGCTGGAGATTACTCTTCCTTATGTAATAAGTACTTTTGTTATAAATAAAAGGGTTAATATAAACTTTAGTCCTTTAAATTTGGAGCCATTTTAGTATTGTTTCTTAAAATTTAAAATCGATGGTATTAGTTCCTCAAATTCTATTTGTTTTTGGCTGTTGGTCTCTGATAATTTTACGCTATCAAACTCGTCTGAGTTGGCACTAACTCCATTAACTTATGATGTGGCTCTGACTTGGCAACTAAAACTTGATGATATGGCATGAGAAGGCTGACCTGGACAATGAGGGGAAAAAGGAAAACAAAGAAAAAAAAGCTTGCCCTGCAACTTATCACAAACTAAAAACCAGATCTCATTTTTCAAAAAGAAAAACAAAGAATTTGCAGTGGTTGGCTGTTACAGCTCTGGATGATGAAGGCTGAAGCAGAAGAACAGTGGGGTTATTGTTAGCTTTAACACAATTTGAGAAATTGATGAGTGGATTCCGACCAATTGGGTGCTTCTCTTCGGTCACTATTCATTGTCTTGGTGAGGAGGAGAGGACATGAGTTAGAGGCAGCCACCGTTCATCATCTTGAGCAAGAGACGTCGACGGGACAAGAGGATGTTGGGGTTAGGGAGTAAGATTCTGGCGGCGTACTCGGAGGATTCAGAGCAATCAGCGGTGTTTGATGAGCTACTCCTTTACCTGCGTGAAAGAGGGGAGGGCATAACTCAAAAGGGGAATATGAACTCGGAAGGATCTCCCAGTAAGGCAAATCGTTCCAAGAAAGGGGCAAATAGAGGGGCAACAATAGATTTATGGACTCTACTGACTCAATGTGCACAGGCAGTGGGAAACTACGACCAAAGGAATGCAAATGAGCTTATGAAGCAGATAAGGCAGCACTCTTCTCCTTTTGCGGATGGGATTGAGCGTTTGTCTTATTACTCTGCCAACAGGCTGGAGACGCGTTTGGCTGCCGGGAAGCCATCAGAGAGATGCTGTTTTGAAGATCGTCAGAAAGATTAAACCAAGCATCTTCACGGGTGGAATTACCAATGGCACTTATAATGCGCCATTTTTCCTAACTCGGTTCAAGGAGGCACTGTTTCACTTCTCGACATTATACGGTATTCTTGAGGCTAATGTGGGACGTGAAGATCTGCAGAGAATGATGGTTGTACGATATTAATTGCGATTCAAGTAGCTCTAAGATTCCCACATGGAGAGGCAAAAGAAAAATTAAACCCTTCATACGCCCATGATAGAGCCCACTGTTCACCATCTTCCTCCTGGAGTGCACACCGTCGACTTGTTTAGAGAGAGAAGATAGACACCGTGGAATTATCTTCATTAGAGCTTAAATGCAAGACGCAGCAGAGGACTAGGGGATGCTGTTCAACAATGTCCCTGTCGACGGCGATGATAACCGTAGAGGTAGTAGAAATCGATAACTGTCATGTAGATCAAAGAGGTAGAGACACTATTGGTCATCTGCAGTCTGCGAATCATCAGATTGAAGAGGGAAGACACAAAAATCGCAGATCGAAGAGCAAGGCACCTTCTGCTGTTGCTCGTACAAACATCCTCACGCCACCCTCTGTCGTCGCCTGCGCCGTCGTCCTCATGGCATTCTCCGCCTTCTGATTTTGTTATTCTTTTTTCCCAGGTCAGCCTTCTATTACTCATGCCACGTCACTCAGCTTCAAGGTTTACAAACATCCTCACGCCACCCTCTGTCGTCGCCTGCGCCGTCGTCCTCATGGCATTCTCCGCCTTCTGATTTTGTTATTCTTTTTTCCCAGGTCAGCCTTCTATTACTCATGCCACGTCACTCAGCTTCAGTTGCCAAGTTACATGTCACATCACAGGTTAACAGAGTTAGTGTCAACTTAATGAATTTAATGACCTAAAGCTATCATGCACTGACCATTAAAAACGGATATAATTTGAGGGATTTATATCATCAATTTTAAATTTCAGTGAACAATACTAAAATAATTTTAAATTTGAAGGACTAAAATTTATATTACCCTAATAGAAATAAAAACACATGGATGGAGGAACATGTCATGGTAAATATAAGAAGACTTGGGGTTCATCGTAATAATTCCCAAAAGTTTATTGCTGTTCTTTCTCAAATGCCAGCCCGCCCAAATTAGGAAGCTTCTAGCCTTCTCTGCAGTTCTGAACTTCAACTTGCGGTGTTATCATGCTCTTCTGATTCGAAGCTATGAGTGCCGTCAATATCACCAACGTGACGGTCCTTGACAATCCCGCTTCGTTTTTGACTCCCTTCCAGTTTGAGATCTCATACGAGTGCTTGACTCCTTTGAAAGACGGTAATTGTTTTATCTGTCATCTTCCTGCATTCGTTTGTTCTTTTTGTTTTGAAGATTCTATTATTGTTCGTTTCCCATCTGTAAGTTTAGGTTAGGGTTACTTTTCTTTATGCTCTTAAATGAATTGAGTAAATGGATCATAAGAAAATGGGTTCTTTCATCAAGAAATTCCTCTTTCGATGACCCAGCACTGAAATAAATTAGGGTTTTTCGTTTGTTCTTCTAAGCAACTGGTGAGTAAAAGCGAAATAGTTCCATGTCCTGACCTTTTTTTTTTGGTGCCTTCGTGGCCTCCTTTGGGCTCATTTTAACTTGCTGGTAAATCAATATATTAATGAACCTTGTTACGGATGAATGTGACTTCATGTTAGTAATCAGTTGAGGGTAACAACATGGGTGGGTTTGCGATGTATCATCGCTGAAAATTTGCTGGTTTTGAAAAAAGGATAATGGTGGTGTAGCTAATAGAACCTTGATCCCACGAATTGTTTGGAACTGATGCAAAATGTAGGTTAAACCATTGAATTTGCCTGCGGGGACATTGGTGCCATCTTGGGTATCGTAAACTTATGGTTTTTGGCCTCATGTTTATGTTCTAACAAACTCTGCTTATAAACAACTGATTCTTCATGCTGCCAATCTTGTATTTGCACTGTAATTTATAAAGAACGATATATAATGTGACTGGGCCCTATCTATGAAGTTCATTCATGACGTTATGTCTAAGTTAGTCCTAGGCCATGAAATTTTTTTTTTGGCCAAAGTTCTAGGCCATCTGCCATCATTAATTAAACTGGTTTTCGGTAGTTTTAGTGTTGCTACTTAGTGATGTGGAAGGCCTTTTTTCCAATCCTTGTGATGTAAGTATACTGTGTTTAGAAATGAGAGGGAAAAAATTGTAGATGTTAGCGTCTTCTTCAGTTTCTTTGTAAGAATATGTGATTCATGAAACCTTATCATACGCGTTGGCAGACCCAATGGCCTTGATGCTTCTTGAAAATGTGATCCTTGAAACATCAAATTTTGTGAGAAATTGATTTTTTTCCCTTTTTTATTGTGGAATTATAGTGCATACTTTTTGGAGACCTATCATAATTAAGCATATTTTAGGCCTTGAATCCTTTTAATTTGGAAGGTTCATTTCTTCCATAAATCCTGCATGTACCATAAAATCAATCGGTCTCTGAAAGTGAATGTCATTTTTCGCTTATTAAATTTTATCGCATTGTTGAACAAAGACTTGGTTTTTCATTTCTTAAATATCGACATGGAGCTATGCTGTTTAATGCTTTGATTAGATTCCTGAATCTTTGATTGGCCTATTAGATGAATTGTCTGGTTTTAATTTTGTTGCATATCCGTGATGAAGTGTTGTTTCATTCTGATTCACTAGCAAAATATCTATTATTCATTGATTGGTGTTCCAAATCTTTGAAGGTAACATATTTTTTGCTGCTTGATTTGCTGAGAACTAAATCTTGTTGAATGTGGAAAATGCATATTATGCTCGCGAACCTCCTCCTAGAGTGGATAAACTTTCAGAATTTCGCTGTTATCTTTTAACGTTATTTTCTACAACCAGTGTGGTTGTAATAATACGTGTTGTATGACCTGAGTACAGATTTGGAATGGAAGCTCGTATATGTTGGATCTGCTGAGGATGAAACATATGACCAGTTATTAGAGTGTGCGCTTGTTGGCCCTGTCAATGTTGGAAACTATCGCTTTATATTGCAGGCGAGTGTTATGCATAATACTCGTATTATTGTTCTCGCAGAAATTTTTTGTTCTGGTGATCATGTGGACTCAATCTTTGAATTCTTTTGGCATTTTGCAGGCAGACCCACCAGACCCATCAAAGATTCGTGAAGAAGATATTATTGGTGTTACGGTGCTCTTGTTGACCTGCTCTTATCTGGGTCAAGAATTTGTTAGAGTGGGATACTATGTGAACAATGATTATGATGATGAGCAACTAAGAGAGGAACCCCCGCCTAAGGTTATAATTGATAGGGTTCAAAGGAACATTTTATCTGATAAACCAAGGGTCACTAAATTCCCCATTAATTTCCATCCAGAAAACAATCAGAGTGGGGACCAGCCCCCGCCGCCTGAGCAGCACGACAGAAATGGAGAAAACCCACTTGCCTTCCGTGATCATGTTCCATCAGATGAGAAGGAATCTTGACAATTTGCAGGCATTCAAATCATCTCATTTTGAAGCATGAAATTTTGTGATGCTTGTTGCTTTGTAATACAAGTGGGAAATGCACGTTATTTCCAAGCATCATAATGTTCTCTCAGTTCCGGTTTGGTCCATCTTGGCTGGAATCTATCCACTTTCAGCTGCGCCGCTAAACTATTGTAGGATTCGTATGCCCCCTCTTCTTTCACAATGTTTACTCACCTATCTCATGTCTCTTCATCTTTATGGGAAATCTTAAGTTAGAAATTTCTTACCAATTTCACCCAGGTATCATATTATTGCGACTAACTATTAAGTGCACCTTAATTTTAATTTGGTTCATAATTTAGTTTCATGAAGCTCAAAATCCTTGAAGTTTTGCCAATTTTTTAATGTAATATTTTTACTTTTAACTTTTTTTTTAACATATTGATCCCTATATCTTAAAAATTTTTACCAAAAAAAAAATCATTTATACTTCCTAATGTGCCATTAACTAAGTGTAGACATTGGCAAACAAGGCAGCAAATATATAAACATGGCAAGCTGCTCCATTATCAACACTTCGCTTCACAAGCTATGCAAAAGAGAATAGGTAAAATTACGCACTCGTTACAGATAACATCAATGATAATCTGGATTGCCATTTCAAGGTATATTAATTTAAATACATTGATGTGCTTCCACCAAAAACGTTAATCTAAAAGAACGTAGAAAGCTAATGAGAATGCCAATTTGGAGTATTATGTAAAAAATTTTCAAAAGAAAAACTGTTGTGAAGATCATCCATAGGCAGGTAAATATTTGCAGCCGGCAAAATTGCTCCACAAGTTACATAGCATGCAGTACTAGTCTCATTTTTTCCTTCTCTTGGCAGGACCTTCTTTTGATCCCATTTTTCTTCTGTTTGCGTTGTCTCTTTTCTGCCATTAAAACAATTTTGATCAACCTTGAGGTATCATCTTGAAATTACCCTAATAGCTGGAAGACCACTGATTTTTACTTTACCTTCTTCCTCAATTTCTTCTTGTTCTGCTTCTGTCCTTTGGGATTCTTTTCCGGGTTATCCTAAAACAAGAACAAAAAGGGAAATGACTTGGCTTTTCATTGCATATCATCAGCTTCAAAGCAGTTGGAAACTCAGTTTTTTTAAAATGAATGGCACAAGGGAAGAAACCAACCGTCAGAATAGTTTGCGTCTCTGAGACCTCTTGGGTCTCAATTTCACCATCACTGTTCAGCATTGCCTTCAATCTACCTTCACTGAGTAATTTCGCGGATCGAGCATGCCTCTACATCAAAGAAAAGTCAATACAAAGATCACCAACAACAGATCATCACAAAATGAGGGTAGAGCAAAATGTGAAGCCTATTTGAACCCCCATATCTTACTGAAAGGAAGGCACAAAACCTAGGATAGAGTATTTAGCACCCCTAATCTTCTTAACGGTATCATCCTCACATTTCTCTGGTTAAAGGTAACTGATATCTAATTAGAATCCCGGTGAATACATGAATGTGATAGATGCTATTTTGTGGAGAAAATATCTAAAATGAGAATATATATATATATATATAAAATTCCTGGGCAGGGATTTCAATTTCCACAGGATAGACGGAAAAGAACGCATGTTTGTAACCTTTGATTGCAAATGAGCCCTCAAAGTCTCCTCAGACAAACAGATAATCCTAGGGCATATTCTGCACTTGAAAACTGATTTGCATTTTAAGATATGGGATGAAATATCTTCTGGCACCCATTCCTTTTCACCGTCAATATTAGACTCTCTCTCCGATACTTCAGAATCATGTTTGTTAAACAACTCTGCATTAGCAGTAACTTTTCTTCCGCCAACTTTTTCAACATCATCTTCACTAAATAGATGATCTGCACTTCGCCAAAAAAAAAAAAAAAAGGATATCAAAATGCTAGCAAATGACAAATAATGAACTCCTAGCAAGAACGTGAGCATGCATATTGATTCCAACGGTAACAGGCATTCAGGTAAAACACGTGCTATTTGTTCCCAAAGTTAAATTAACTCGTAATGTAATATAGAGATGGATACGCTATGTGCCAAACATAATTCCAAAGGTCCATAAGGTATAAGTATTGAATCACACGCATAATCAAAACAGAATGGTGACGTAACTTATTTCCAATCAATTGAATAAGTTCAAACATATAGGAAGGAAGAAGTAGACGTAAGGATAACAATAATTATCATAAATTCTGAATGCATTTTGTGTATCTGAAAGTCAAGAAGCTGCTAACCAAATGCACACTGCACATGTTCGCTCAACAGAATGGGCAACATATAAAGCTTTTCTATTTTTATTATCTTCAAACCCGGGGGCACACAAACTAAATGCTCTGCAGTTAACTTGAGTGCACTAGGCAGTCAACTTGCCACTTAAGGGTTATCCTGGTATGATCCATCGCAGCACATTAAGATGACAGCAAATCCAACAATTTGAATCCAAATTTTGTGCCAAAGGAGATTCAAGCAAAGTAGACAACAGAAAGAAATGCTACCTGGTGAGTTGACATCAATGTCATTTGCAGAGCTATCCTCACTTTTGTAACCTGAATTGGATTTCAAAAACTAAGACGTGGAATTTTAAAACAAGGAAAAAAGAAGGAAGTGATGAAGAATAATAACGAGTGTCCTAGTAATAGACCTACTCTTATTGCATAGTTAATTGGAATAACATACCTTAAGCCCTTTAGTATAGAACAAAAAGGCTTCAATATACATCCATGCAAGAAGTTAGTTTAACTACAGACTAATGTAAAGTGTTCATATTTTGTCCCAAAAATATGAGACAGACGTTACAAGAAGAGCTAGTATTTCCCAAATTCTTGAGGGAACGATAGAGAATTAAACACATTCAATCATTGTTGTGGAGACTTTGCAGTAAGAGACTGGCTTTGGAGATTATTGCGTTTCGTTTATCAAGTGTATACTTTGCCTGATATACTATTAAATGCTTCAGGCAAAGGGTCTCTCATTTGAAATCCTGAAGTTCCAAACTCAAAGCAGAACGTTCCATTTTTTTAAGGCATTGTCTGCTTAGCTTTCGTTACGCAATACAGCTTTAACAGTTGTTGTAAGTAGAAATTTTTTTTCCCCCCAGAAGACGCCATTAATTTCCTCCCTCTTAATTCCTAAGACACTTGTGATGGGAAAACCAACCATCAGGATCTGGATCTACTTAAGTCCAACTAGTGCACTGAGATGATTGATTATGTAAGTACAATAGAAGCTGTTGTCTGTAAGTTGGAATCAGACCTCAGGCAAGGGAAAAACAACAACAACAAAGCACTAAGGAGAGAGAGATCAGGAAGAGCTAAAGAGAAAGCCTAATGCAAGAGGGAAAGAATCTACAAACCTTGGTAACATTAAAGGAAGGGAGAATGAGCAATGAAGGAAAATAAAACAAATAACGAAATTTAATAAAATAATGAAAAAGAAAACATGAGTATAGTGATAGACTCACTTCATTGTGCGAACTCAATTGAACATTAGATGTCATCACTTTTGTTAACTACTTTGATGGAGAATCAAAGAAAAATGATATTGAAAGAAATTTCAAGCACAAACTGTATCAAACCAACAATAAAATTTGACGAGAACCACAAATGAAAAAGACATGTCTAAGACCAAACAGAGTTTCTTCTTGAAATAAGGATAACAAAGGGGGAATGACGTACAATCAGACAGAAAAATACTGCCCATTAGTCACATTGTTAATTATGTATTCGTTGCTTTTATTTTTAAAATTGTGCCATGCTATTCTTCATTGAGAACAGTGACAATACTGCAGGAAAATCAGCATTGTCAGTTAACTGACTACCAAACAAGACAGAAATAGATACATGATGGGAACCTAGAAAAAAGAAAAAGAATACGTGAAGATTTTGAAGATTACTTCAAAGATTTAGGCAAAAAAGTTGTTTTAATCTTGCATGCGTTGTTATCTTTTTAAGATTATTGTTATCCTTTTAGGATTTTATCAATTATTGTTATCTTTCAGAATATTTACATTTAGTTTTAGGTTTTCTAGACTATTCTTGCTACGGTTAGGTCAAGATCTATAAATAGCCCTTAACACATCTTATTTTGTACACCTTTCATTATGAATTGAAACATAATTGTTTAGTTTCTTCTTCCTTCTAGTTGTTATCCCTCTATTAGTCTCTCTATTCTCCCTCTCTTTCTGTTTTACATCAATATCATCATTATAACAAACTAAAAAAGAACCCAAAGAAGGATATTAGTACGGCACTGACATTATATATCCTTAGAATGAAATGTGTAATATCTAAAATAAAGAGACAAAAGAATTACACATTCTTCCGGTATTAAATGTAATTCTTCTTGTATTAAAGAGACGAAAGAATTATCAAAATAACAATCCACTAACCAGAGGATGTGGAGCCAGATTCATTATCCTCATTCACTGCTGGTATTACATGTTCTTCTGATTCTTCAGTGGGTTCAGCTTCCTGGTCGAAGTCTGAGGATGATGAAGACGAATCTGAGGCATCATCCCTATCTCCATGGTCAATCTTGTAGAATCGTCTCTTTATCATTTGTACTTTAAGGTTAACTGCAAGACACAAATTTAACATTTAATATTGATAACTTCAAAATTATTAAGAGCATATATAAATTGCATTTTACCAAGGTAGTAAGAGGCAAAATGCATCTTATGGTGCTAAACCCTTAAAATGCTTTAGGTGTCTTTATCCTAGGCCATTGAGTTTTGACACAGATTGAGTATAAAGATAGAACAATTAGATCCAAGGGCTCATCTAGGTAATTGTTTGTTCCTACTCTCATGAGCATAAAATATGTTACATTATCAGTTCAACCATCCTAGTCTTGCTCTGTCTCAAAGGCTCAATGTCTCTAAAATAAGACAAAAGCACCATTTGCATATATGCATCCAAAAAATTGAGGCATAGCTCATCAATGAAGCTCATATCGTCAAATAGGTTTTCCCACTATATTAATCCTGTTTGATGGTTTGGTATCGAGTCTTATAGAGACCAATAGCATATGCCCTTAAAACATTCATCCACCAAACTGTTAATACCAGGAGATTAACAAAGATGTGAATATAGCATAGATGAATAAATTCATGACCATTAAAACGGCCACCCAGAAATATTGAAGTTAACTAAAGCTTCGAAGCTGGAAGCACATCGGCGAGTGCCAAAAAGAATTGAACTTTGCGAGTGCCAAAGAGAATTGAACTTCTAAGAAAATAAGAAATCAAGTATTGCATTCCATGTAAAATGGAGAGCGAGCGGGAGAGAGAGAGTTGCTTACATAGGGGTGGACGCCGGCGAGGAAGAATCAGAGGCAGCGGGAAGTCGTGATAGTGGGAAGACGGGACTTGTCAAGCTTCGCCTGGAGAAGCGAAAAAGATTTGCTCCGGAAGTGCGTGACCGGGTCGGATGCAGTCCATGGGTTGTCCTTACGGTGTTTTTTTTGAGGTAATACTTTTAGGGCTCTAATGTGTTGATCTTTTGGGCTTTTAGGGGCCCATAAACTGCTGAATTGGCAGGAGACTTGACAAAAACAAAAGTGATTATGCTGCTACCAACAAAAGTTAGTTCAATTACTAACAGGAATTGGTCCAAGTGGTAAGCGGCTTGGTACCGTTTAAGTGAGGTCTCGAGTTCTAAACTATCTAAAGTATATTTTTTATTGATTACATATATTAAAGGACTTTTCTTTCAAAAATAGTCATGATTACAAAGGGCACTTTAGAAATTAATTCATATTTATTACAAAAAACTAATTTAATCAATTTTTTAATTTATTCAAATTAGTTAGATAGCTGTTATATTAAACACAGGAGGTAATACTACATATTAACTATCTAATCTAATGTCTACAAGTATAAGTAGTTATTTTTCTTTCTAGATTTTAAAATATATGGTTCAAATTTTAAAATCACTAAAGTCTTAAGGTGCGTTTAGTTTGATGGGAGTGGTGGAAAAATGCTTCTCTCCCTTCATTTAGTTCGTAACTTTGGAGGGTAGAAAAGCGGAAATTTATATTTTGAGGATTTTGAAAGGAGTTAAATTTTTTTAATTTAATTTAATGAAATGCATTTTATTCTAATACTACATCCACTTCTTAATATAAAAACAAGTTGAACATTTAATTTGGTTCTAAATATAAGACTCTAATTAACTTATTTCACATATTTATTTGTTTTTTTAAAAGCATTCTTTGTAAGACTCTAATAGTTGTGTATATTAAAATTTTCATCAAATAGTAGCTCTAACTAATACACATGATTAGTAAGAGTATTAAAAAAAAATACATATTTATTATACATACTACCTCCAGTTCTTAATATAAGAGCTAGTTAACTAATTTGAATAGATTAAGAAAACTATTATAGTTAGTTATTTGTAATAAATAAGTGTTGTCTTTTTTAAAATATCCTTATTAATCAAGTGCATTAGTTAGAACTATCATTACTATAATGACTACCTTAGAAAAAAATAGATAAATATAAGAGACAAAAAAAAAATTAGAATCTTAGATACTGTTTGGTACGAGGAAAATGGTAGGGAGGGGAGGGGAAGAAAAATTTTAATGGATTCTATTTAAAAAATTGGAAAAGTGGGGTTTTGAAATTTTAATAAAGAGAAGTAATACAAATGAGTAATAAAAATTAATTAAAAATTTTTAACCCCACTTTTTCAATTTTTTAAATCAAACCTATTAAAATTTTTCCTCTCCTCTCCTTTCCTCATTTTCTCTCATACTAAACAGACCCTTATAGTAGTCTTTAGAATTAAAATAAAATCAAATAAACTTTTATATTAAAAACTAGATTATAGTAATTAACTTAACAAATTTTTTTTAACCTATTTAAATTAGTAAATTACTCCTTCAATTCTTAATATAGGACCCAATTCTTGAGTTGGTTTTAGTCCTAAATATAAAACTTATTTCTCATATTTATCAATTTTCTCTAAATTACCCCCATAGATACTCCCTCAACCATAAATAAGTAGAAAATGGAGATGGGGTATTAAGAAAGATCATTATGGTGTTTTAGAAAAAATGTGTCACTTTTCTTATAATTAACTAATTTATCTAATTTTTTTAATCTAATTAAATTAGTTAAATAGGTTTTATATTAAGGATCCAAAATATTTTCTCATTAACTAGCATTTTATTGATGTTTTTGGAGGAAAAAGTAAAACCAACGCTCGCTCCCGCGCTGGTTCGCAAACCTCGCCCGCCACTCTGAACTCCTTTCCTCTGCTTTCTACACTGTTGTTGCCGACCGAAGATCTTGCGTTCGATCTCCGTTATAGCCGTCCATCGTCCTTGTTGTTTGTCGCCGGATCATTGCCTTCATCGTCTGCTTTCTTTTCTGCTCGGCGTTATCTTCCTAGGTAAGTGGTAAAGCTTTCTTCAACCGCATCTAGATATGTTATTTCCCTGCTCGGCATTTTCTTCCCCGTAGGATTGGTCAATAATGCCCAGTTTATCGTCTATTTTCTTACCTGCTCGGCGTTTTCTTCTCTGCACAGTTCCCCCCTTTTCGCACTATTGAAAAAACTTAGATGGAATATTGTATCTGCAATGGGATAAACACATTGAGTCTTTGATTTAATTGGGGTTCGATTGGTCCATAATGCCCAGTTTCTCAAGTCTATTGTAAAAATAGAGAATCAATGTGCTAATCTTTGAGGTGTTTTAGCTGTGTCTAGATCAGATTTTTGTGTGTGGAAGTATGTTGCTTGGTTGATGCTTTCTCAGACTCGTCACTATATATAGTATTTTTGTGGCTTGTAACTCTGTTGTTTCCAATATATATCAGTTGCTGGCTGTTATTTGTGAATCATTAAGATTATGTGTGTTCTTTTCCCTATTTTGTGTGGTTTCTGATTCTAACAGCTGGAAGAACATTACAAGATTCCATGTTTTTTTTATTTCTTGTATGTGTTAAAAAACTTATGTTAGTTTAATCAAAATCAGCCTTCTCATTTTCACATCACGATGACTCAGAGTCATGTGCATAACTGGCAGTTTTTGAAGAAAGAACTGTCTTAAACTGAGGTTCATTTATATATTCCTCCGGTCCTTAATGACTTAATGTAAGACCTAATTAACTAATTTGAGTAGATTAAAGATGTTAGTTAAATTAGTTCATATGATATGTTTTTTCTAAAACATCTTAATCATTTTCCTTAATTCCCTTCCTCGCTCTCCTACTTGATTTTTGAGGGAATATTAATAAGGTTAATTTAGGAAAAAATTGATAAATATGTGAAATAGGTCTACATATGGGACTAATATCAACTCTCAAATTAGGTCTTATATTAAGGATCGGAAGGGTAAGAAATAATACCGCAAAAGAGCAACAGCAGTTTTTAACATTTTTGTTGGATGGACTTCGAAAATCAATGCTTTTTATTGGTGCACCCGCTTGAATTGCGTCAAAAAGCAACAGGTCTACTACTTGTGTGTTATTGCACAAGTACATTTCAGTAAGATTTGTCCTAAAAAGATAAGTTAGTCTTTGAGTGGCAAGATGGAGCGGGTGTGTGATGAAATAATGAATATAAATATAGAATAAGTAGTTGTCCATCTAGTTGAAATATCATTAGAATTGTGTATTGCCTTTGTCTTTTCAGACTAAAAGCAGCTACGTGGAGAACTACTCCTTTGCCAAACTATAAAAAGATGATGATATCATATGAAGAAGACAAGGCTGGCAGAGATGAGGGGGAGGCATTGTGTAAGTGTAGGAAGAGACGTCATTCTTCAGAAGAGGTTGATCAACCTGTCAATGACATTGGTAACCTTGTTGAGCTTAATGGCCAAAGTCACAGTAATTCACTTGCTGCTAATAATGCTTGCAGTAAGAGGACAAAGAGACGGTCTAAAGAGTGGGAAAATAATTTAAAGGAACTAACAAGGGCAGTACATGCAGTTGCTGAGGCGCTTGATCGAGGAAATGATGCGATATTACAAGGAAATATTTTACTACAAAAGATGGCTAACACCAAATTGCAAATGCCACAATTATCAGGTGAAGAAGTTTGGAAAATGCTTGAAGAATGTGAGTGTGATGCTGAAAAAATACTTGACATGTATTGTTTCCTTATGAATGATGTTGACAAGCTTAGGATAGCGGTTCAATGTCCAGCTTCAATGCGAAAACAAGTGATAATGAGGTTGTTCAATGGTGCTCATTAGATGGTCATTTTACCATTTACGGGATTATGCTGACTTTTCTTTGCTTCTCTAGGGCCTTTCAGCAGAAATTGTTGAAACATGAAACATACTCCCAAATTTGGTAAGCAGTGATGTGGGAAAACTAAATCTTGCTTGCTCTTTTATATAATTTTGTTTTTAGATTTGGAATTGTAGTTTTATTTTGCTCATACAACTATGGTCTAAATTGGTTCATGTTATGTTCTGTCTCATAAACGTTCATATTTTTTCCTCATATTGTTTTTCTGTAACCCCTTTTCGAGGGAGGAGTAAATAGCCAATTGTTAAATGTTGGTGCCTCCATTTCTGAACACCTGTTATTGAACGTGAGAAAAGAAAGATGTAAGTTTAAAATTACCAGAATTGATGCCAAAATTATTTCATATGGGAAAAGTTAAAGTGATTCATTGACTAAATTTTGTATTTGTACATAAACAGTGCATATATACAGATATAATGTGCCTGCACACATGTATGCATGTACATTTGAGCATGTGTGCGTGTTGGGTTGGTTTGTATAACAAAGTATTGGAAAATATAGACACTAGAGAGATGTTTGGATTGAGATATGAAATCCTAAAGTGATTCTTTGGTCATTACCAGCGCTCTTTGTCAAGTTGATGGGGGATTGATGTTAACCATCTCCAACTTGGGCTCAGGTTCTTTAATCCTTATTCTGGGTGGAGATTTTGTTAGCCCGTAAGCAACTTGAGTTTTAGTCAATGTATGAGATAGTTCTGAGGATTTTAGATCTGCCTTATCACTTTCATGGGACCTAGGCATTATTTTTTAAGTTGTTAAGAAGATGGATAAGCTATAATCCTTCACATACACATTGTGCTAAGGCATAATTATAACAAGTTTTCCCATATCTGTATTACAACACACTTTCATTGGATGAAGTTTCTTTGAAAAAAGTACCTTTCTTTTGGGGTGGCCAATTTGTGAAATTGTACAGTTATTTTAGAGACTTTGGCACATATATATTATATAGTTGTAAGTTTTTTTTTTCTAATCTTGAAGAGGAATGTCTTGGTTTAGTTTTCTCTCCAATTCCTTTCATTTGCTATTTCTATCATCAGATTAACATTCAATAGTTGAGAATTAATAAATCATAGTAGTATTGTTATAATATTAAATAAAAAAAATACATATAAGTAAATAATAAAATATTTTAATAAAAATCTACGGACTATGTATGCAAATTAATTTCTAACTGCTTATATATATATATTTGTTATTTAATTAATATTATAATACTAA